ACAAGAGATTGTCATGATACTACAGACATCTGACTCAGGACACTATCATTCAAGAAACCAGTTGAGGCCATGATCTTGTTCAGCTAGTAGACAACATTGTGAGACCAAAAAAAAAACCAGCTAGGTCCTTATCACCACATTTATCTGTCAGTTCACAATTGATATTGAGGTCCCCTCCAAAGCAACCAAGCAAACCTCCAAATTGATATTGTCCAAAAAGCAGACTGTTGCAATATTGACAATTGTCACAGAAGAAACGTCAAACAGTGTTATCTTACTGCTTCCAGATCCAAACTTTTTACTTGCCTCATCATTGACATGTCAAGTTTCAGAGTCAAAATCAGAATTGAACCTGCCAGACCCATGCCTAAATTTTGTTCACCTGCCAAAAGACCAAGCTGGAAGGCTTCATGGCCTAAGATAGGTTGGGCTTCAGCCTACCTGCCTGTTGGAAGAGGATGTTTTGCCTAGTGCTTGTTGGGACTAATGGCACATCCCTGTTGATAGGATTGACTGAGCTTGTCCTAATAGCTCCTGAACCCCAAACAGTACCTTGTGGTCATTGTGGACAATTTAGGTTAATGGCTTTTTGAAAGTTGGATGGAAGTCGGACATCAGCCGCTTATTTTAAGAGTAATTTTCCAAGTTCTCTTCACAAGATAACAAGTGCGTTTGGAAGACATATACTTTTAACAGACCAGCCCCAATCATGTTTACTTTTTAAGCAAGTTATATGGGAGTCACTGGCACATTCTTTGACATTTAAAAATCAGTCAAAATGTTTTCTCCACTGACAGATTTTGATAAGTCATCATTACACCATAGGTAGTAATATTTTGTTGTTTTATTTCATAAGCAATTGGCTAACACACTGGTTCTTAACCTTGGGTTACTCAGGAGTTTTGGACTACAACTCCCAGAAGCCTTCACCACCAACTGTGCTGGCTGGGGTTTCTGGGAGTTGCAGTTCAAAAACATCCAAGTAACAAAGGTTAAGAACCACTGGGCTAACATATAGCTAGTTCTTACTGAAATAGAAGTATTGGATCAGAGGTCTGTTCCATGAGAACTGAGATCTTTTTTTGTTTGATGAAATTAAAATTGATGGCAATACGTAATTGCTGTATAAAATCAGAGAAAAGCATTAGGACTGTCTGCTCATTGTTTATAAACATTTGATAATGCAATACATATGTCAAGTCTCCATTTAGATTGTGTAAAGAAAACTGGACATGAGGTTTTTCGTTTGTTTTTAATACTTAGGGTATTACTACACTCTGTTCCCTGTTTTAATAGCTTCATAGAAATACAATAAAACTGTAGACCAGTAAGTATAGGCTATTTTTGCTTTATTTGTCCCACTAAATTAAAAGTGCAGAGTTTTGAGGAAAAACCTTTTATTGAAAACAATCTGTGGTAATGAAAATGTACTAGTCCTTCTGGGCCTAAACCACTCTGCAGCACTCTATTCAGAGCATGTTACCATAGTCTCTTGAGACTGAAGGATGCCTACTACTGTACAGTACTACCTTCCATGTATGATAGTTTAGTAATGAGGCAGGGAAAGAAAACTTGTCAAATGGTATTAGGGGGGAAAACATGCAGCACATATGATTTATAAGTATCAATAGCTGTTGCCACAATACATAAACAGAACCATGCATCTTTAAAAGGCAGTAAGAATCTGAGCATTAGATGCTGAGAGTTATACAACAGGGCTAGGTTCTTGCCTTCATGACCTCTTTGTGAGCCTTGTGGAGGCTAGCCATCAATGAAGGACATTGAAGTACTAGAATACTTATGCATTTGGTCTGATCCAGCAAGAACAAAATCCAATCTAAAGGTAGCACTATCCTCCTTTCCTCATAGCAGTCCTCCAGACACCCCAAGAATCTGCTTCAGAGGTTGGGAAGACCCTTGGGATGTAATTTTTGGCATTAAAGAAGGTTTCAAAGTGTAGGAGCCAAAAAAACCCCCAGTGTTATGTCTCTTGGATTAGGCAAAAGATCTTTATGGGAATAATTTAATGTAGACTTATGTATCTTGATCTCCTTTATACTGTATGAAGATTTGCATTCATTGTGGGATTACTTTACAAGAAATTATCACAGGATTGGGGGCAAGTGTATTTAATATGTGATGCTACAATTACTGCTATATATCATGCATACATCTCCTGAATGCATTGCTTTCTTTTCTCTGTAATTCCTTTAGCAGACAGGCAAATCAAATGATTTTTTATTTCTATCTTGTTCTCAAGTTGAAAAATATTTCCTCCCTGGCCCTGTTTTCAGTATAATATTATCAAACATTTTGTTATGAAACATTTAAAAATAGAGAAACATTGAATAGGAATCACTGTTGACATTTTTAGTAAATACATATTTAATTCCATTAATTTTGCTAATTGGATATGTTTACAAATTGGAAATATATACATGTATAACCTTTCTTACAAGTTGAACTTATTTTCACTGTCTTTTAATTAAAGTTTTTGAATTATGTATAAAACATTTTCTAGTTAATTCCTCTTAGACAATTCTCTTACCTTCAATAAATTCTGATGTGAAAAACATGAATCATACTAAATGGTACTGATTGTTTCTATTAATAGCATTCACAGTTTCCATTCTTTTGGATGATCCTCCTATCTATGAACTTTGAGTACTGTATGTAATAACTATAAAATTTATTGGAGAGCTATCCTAGAGCAGAAGTCCCCAACCTTTTTGGTACTGGTTGGGGGGGCAGGCTCCTGCGCGAGCGTGACATGCCCCCTGTGAGTGTAACATGGCTCCAGCATGAGCGTGACACCCCCCTGCATGTGCACGACATGCCCCCTGTGAATGTGACACGCCCACTGGGCAGGGGAGCGAAGATCCGTCTCCGCAGCCCAGTTCCAGCAAGCCCACGGACCGGCACGGGCCACAGACTGGGGGTTGGGTACCCCAGTCCTAGAGCATTGGTTTCCAACCTTGGGTAACTCAGATGTTCTTGGACTGCAATTTCTGAAAGCCATCGCTACCAGCTGTGCTGGCTGGGATTTCTGGGAATTTCAATCCAAGAATACTGGGGTTACTCAAGGCTGGGAACCAATGTCCTAGAGGCTAGCTAGTTTCAATACTTGTTCAGAATGATCACAGAATCCTTAACTGATATCATTCTGGTATTTTGTATATTCCTGCAGGATCAGATGCAGAACCATGTCTTATCACCACCTATACTTACAATTGTATGTAAATGAATTAATGACTTGGTGTCATGCACACTGTGATTTATGTACTTAGAATCAAACAGCAGTATTCCTTAAGTTTTTCATTGTGCAAAATTCGTTCTAACTGGGCCATCACTGAATAGTGGTTAGCAGTTCTTGCTTCAGGTTCTGTACTTTCAACATTTTTTCACTGCGTGCTGAAGCTACATGACATAACATTAATGAAATGGTGCACATGTGAATGGAGCTTGGCCATGTAAAGCAGAACATATAGTTAAGTCAGAGAGGCAGCATAGAAAAGGGAAGTGGAAGGATTCCTGTATTTTGTTGAGAGTTTATTGTTTCTTCTGGGTGGGAGGGACAACCATATCTGGAAATATTTGGAAGCAATTATTTCACTGGGTAAAAAAGAATATGTGCATTATATGTACATATACTATAAGGAGATGCAGGGCTTAGATGCAGGAAGGGATAATATGTCAATTGTAAGCAGTACAGGGAAATCCAGAAACAAACATGAAAACATTACTGAAGAAAATTATGAGGATCTGTCAGAAAATATCTCCTTGGTATTATAAACAGCTCTACTGAATTTTAAAATGAATTTATTTAGTGATTTGATGTGTACCATTGTTTGAAGAAATGTTAGGGAGCAATGTTACCTTAGGCATGTGGGTGTGTACAGCCGAGCTGATGTTTCCACCCATTTGCTTCCAGTCGCACCCAGAATCCTGTGTGCAGAGGGCAGAGCCTCCACCCAGCACTCCAGAAAAATCGTGGGAATGTTGTTCGGGAGCTTTAAATTTTATTTTAGTCAATGGTTTAAGTCAAAGGTTTTTCTGGTTACTGTAATTTAAATCAGTGATTTGAACTGTTTTAATTTGCATCAGACCATCCTTGCTTTGAAGAAACTAATGTTCAAAAGGCTGAATATGAACTTCTGAGCTACACAAAACTTTTTCTCAGTATAGTGTCCCAAGAAAAAAAAGGCAAAATAATAGATGTTTCATATCCACAATAATTAATGTTAAATACAGTGTTAAACATATCAGCGATAGATAATGTTAAATATTAAGTTAAATATCAAGTTAATATTAAGTACAGTATTTTGTAATATAAAGAACTAAGATGATTTAATTTTGAAGTGTGGTTACTGGATCACAGGCCTTTCTGAAGAACTATTCTATAATTTATGTAGCGAAATAGTTCAACAAGTTATAGGTATAAAATATAAATGATACTAGATTGCAAACATTTTTCAGTCTCCAGTGACAAATTTGTATTTTCATTAAAATCACAGTTAAAGTGATTACAATTCACTTACTGTTTATATCTTGTTAAAGGTTGGCAAGGAAAGGCTATACTGTATAAAGTTATCTTGTCACAGAAAGATTTAGCAGTGAATATACTAAACGTACATCTTCTTAGTGGCCATGATAATACCCATTCACCAATAGAAGAAGAAGAAGAAACTCAGTCATGTTTATCTCCTGCTTTTTTCCATTTCACTTGTTGTTGCTATAGTTTAAACACCTTAAAATTACCAACAAATTTTTATGTTTCTTTTCCCCTCCTGAGGTTCAGCATTTGATTCCTCCTCTCTTAGATCTAGATGGCCTCCAACAACTTCATTTCACATATTTTATGTTTCCAGATTTTTGCTTTGGCATAAAAATGTAACTCTTGTGGTTGCTGTAGTAGTTAGGAATTGGCATGTTTTCCATGGTAATTGGAATTTTACATGCTGAACTAATAAAGCTGATATCAAATTTGGAAATTTTTACAGGTACATCTACTTTTATAGAAGCATTGGCAACAAATGGAACCAACATACAGACATCAGTAACAGGAGTAACAGCCAGCAAACGAAGATTTATTGATGAAAGGAGGGACCAGCCTTTCGATAAAAGGCTACGATTCAGTGTGAGGCAAACAGAAAGTGCTTATCGGTACAGAGACATTGTTGTCAGGAAACAAGATGGCTTCACACACATTTTATTATCAACAAAATCATCGGAGAACAATTCATTAAATCCAGAGGTTAGAGGCATTCAGTTACTTCTGGGTTTTGGGAAAAGAGTGGCTATGGTATTATTTACATGCATTACATGTGTGAAAAGCAATTTGAGAGGTTCAAAAACAGAAAAGAGAGATTTTACACTGTGGTAACCAAAACTTCCAGTCTAAATTCGTAGATGGGGAAAACAGCAGTAGGTAAGAAGAAGATCATTGTAGCAGGGAAATTAATATGAACAAATGCAATAATGCATGCTTAAACTTGGATAGAGTCAGTGCTGAGGATAGAGTTTGAATCAAAAACATTGTGGGAAGAATGCCTTTGGGAAGGATTTGAATAAAGACTTATAGCTGGCACTCATATATTGTCATGGATCAAGCCCTAAACAATAGGGGGAAGTGAAGAATAATGAATAGGTTAACAGTTAATAGAAAAAGAAAATGTAGTACAGTATGCTTAAACACAAAAGGCAAGGAATCTAATGTCTGGTTTGAAAGATCAAATTACTTTAAAAAAAAGTTGCGTCTTTTCATTTTATGTTTTGAATAGTGCTTTTCCATTTCATTGATTTCTAAGCTATCCAATTTGCTAAGAATTAAGATTTTATGCTTTACTTGGAAGTGAATTTTAAGTTTTTCCTAGACTCTAATCCTATATACACTTATCTAGAAGTTAGACCCATTAAACTCAGTGGAACTCACTTCTGAGTAGATGTGTACAGGTTTATGCTGTTAATGTTCAGAAAGCTTTATTCTTTCATATTTGCAGTTTATCTCATTGTTATAGTCTCCTTCCTGGTATGAAAAAGGGGAACTTTGAAATGAACTTTGTCCTAAATTTAGATTTTGCTGGCCAGGTTGCCTATGCCACCTGCTGTTCAGACCACAGAAATGCTGTGTGAATGTGAAATCTTCAGAAGCAGTATTCTGCATCCTATATTCATGTACTTAATGTATCTTATTTCCAGGTAATGAAAGAAGTCCAAAGTGCACTGAACACTGCAGCAGCTGATGACAGTAAACTTGTACTCCTTAGTGCAGTTGGCAGTGTGTTCTGCTGTGGACTTGACTTCATTTATTTTATTCGACGCCTGACCGATGATAGAAAAAGGGAAAGTACTAAGATGGCAGATGCTATTAGGTTTGTATAGTTCTTTTTATTAATTGTACTTATTGAGAAATGAACTCAAAACCCACATCCTGAATGCAAAAAAGTGATGATGAACAGATTGGCATTCTGTTCATAATGTGAGCATGAATATTTTTACACAGCCAGAAAATTGATATTAAATTACAATATATATCAACATAAATGTGCTACAAGATTCTCCATGTAAAAACTGAGAAACATTATCAATTTTGGAAAACATTCAAATTTTTAAAGTATGGATATATTGTATATTTTAATGTTTTATTTTATTCAGGAGAATCTTGGTAAAACACTAAAACTTTCAACTTTCTTTAAGTTTCATCTCTATAGAAAGTAAGATTGCCAATACGCAAGATGTATAGACTGAATATTTTAAAATGATAAGGTGCATTACAGTGTGCCTGGATACCTTGATTTCCCTCCCTGCCACCAACAGTCTTATGATTTTTTAAAATATAACTTCGTTTTTAAGAGGTTGATTTTCATCTTTCATCAGCTATATTTACATATAACAACAAATGATGACTTGCTGCAAAAACATACTGTATTTAGTCTGGGTTTCATGTGTTCTATATAGAGATGGGAAGGCCTGCAGTAAACTTGGAAAAATTGGGGAGGAAAAACAGTTTCTTTTCCTGTTTTTTTCCAAAGCCATTTCTGTGGGTTTTTGGGGAAAAGTTTGAAAAAAATGGAGTATGGAATATGTTATTTTACAATGATAAATAATATGTTATATGGTATTCAAATTATATAACATGAAGACCTCAATGAAAGGCCATGTATTTAAGTTCCCCACTTAACCCCACCCTTTGCTTATCATGGTGGAGAAATTTAGAACTTTTGTCTTGTAAAAACCATAGCTGATCTACAGGCTTAAGGTATCAAACCACTTTCTTTAATCACGACAACTATATTCAGTATAGAAAAAAACCAGCTGCAGCCCACATAGGGGTTTGTCCTGCACACATGCACAGCAAGATCAGAGGTTTTATTTATTTATTACATTTTTCTCCCACCCATCTAGTGGCAAACCGCTACTCTTGAGTTTCTAACAGAGATAAAGAAGAAATAATCCATCAGCCAGCACATGCACTCATTTTAAAAACTGAGATAAATACATGGGGCTCCCGACTGAGCCTGAGTTCCTTTTTGTCTGCTACTTTGTCATCATCTTTGATCAACCTAAACCTAGTTTGATCAAACCTTTCAGTAACAATGTCTACTTCAACTTTGACTATTCCATCTATCTCTTCCTTCAAATTAATAACTTATCTCTGCTCTGTACATGGCTTTAGCTTCGACTGCTGGCTATTCAACTCCAGGTCATCTCCCAGTTCCAGCATCTTAAATTACAGTGTCAGACTTCCTGTAAGAAAATCACTCAGTGCAGAAAAAAGATCCCACAAACAACTGTCTGCCTACAACAGAACCTGTTGAAGTTCACAATAGAGAGGCCTCATCTTGGGAAAGGACTTGCAGGCTACAGAGAAAGTAGCTGGGCACTAAATACTTCAGCCACCATTTGAGTGCTCTAGGCCAGTGGTTCTTAACCTTTTTGAAAGAAATGGCCCCTTGAGCCATTGAGGAAGTTATCATCGCTCCCTTGTGGTGGCACAGCAGCGGCAGGGAGGGGGGCAATGATAACTTCCTCAATGGCCTGCCTATCGCCCCTTCTGTTCCTTCACCCCCACATTGGCACTTTTTGTTCCATCGCCCCCTGAAAAACGAAATGGCCCAGGTTAAGAACCACTGCTCTAGGCCAACACCACCCTCAGCTGACCAGTTGAACACCCATTCTCCAGCAATGTAACCTTCCATGTTGATGTCTTATGTATCACTCTTGGCTCCAGAGCCAAACAACAGCACCCCACATCACTGTACCCAAAAGCAGATTTAATCCCGCTTACTAACTCATAAGAGGAAAAAGCGTAAGAGAGATAAGCAAAACCCAACTTTCCTAGCTAGCTGGGTATCTCTGATGGGAACCAGCATACAACCTCAAAATCATCAGGTTCTCCCATTCCATCAGCCATGTACAGTGGTGCCCCGCTTGACGCTTACCCCGCATGATGTCGAAATCGCTTTACGATGTTTATTTTGCAATCGCAAAACAATGGCTCCAATGGGGTCTTTTTGCTTGACGTCGATTAGGAGCCTGCTTCACGAACCATTTGTTCGCTTAACAATTATTTTTCCGGCTCCGCAAAATGGGTTCCCTTTGTAAAATGGCTTCCCTCCCTTCACAAAATGGCAGTTTTTAGGATGGAAGCTTCACATTACAGGGAATTAGAACAGCTGATCGGCAGTTCTCTGTGGGCAATCTTCGCTTTACGATGAGGTATTTCCCCCATTGGAACACATTGACTGGTTTTCAGTGCATTTCAACGGTTTTTTAACTTTCGCTTGATGATGATTTCACTTAACCGCAATTTGAACGGAACGCATTATCATGGTCAAGCAGGGCACCACTGTATCTCAACTCTTAGTCCTCCACTTCCTCCAAAACCAGACATGAATTTCCATAAGCCAGAGTATCTTGACATCAAAACTGCTGTGGATGCCCATGCTGTGGATTCCTGCTCAAAGGGTGAATTAATAGAATCTTATTGCAAGTTCGATCTCGATTGCTACTGTGTATTTCCATTCACCAATACAACTGCTAGTTCTTCCACTTCACTTTGGGATCAATCACCTATCAATTCCATGTCCTCCCATTTTGCTTGGTGACCATTCTCAGAGTGTTTACCAAGCACACGGTGGCCATGTCTTCCATTAGAACTTTTAAGACTGTAATAGTGTTTTACTCTATTGAGGAAAATCTGGGTCTTTTTCAATTGTGTTAACATATAATAACTCCAGATTCTGAAGTTAATTGCTATGTGCTTGGTTTTGTTTTTTGTTTTTTGTTTTAACAAAGTATGCAATGGGAAGTCAAGTATAAGAGAAAGTAAAACAATTTCTTAAAAATTAAAGACTAGTTTTACTGGATGATGGCATACCTGTGTGCCATAGACACAGTCAACAAGGGTGAGAAATGCTTTCCCTTCCATATATTTTACATCAGCTCCCAGACACCCCAGTTAGCATCACCCAATGATAAGTAATTATGGATTTGTTGTCTAAAACATAGCCATAACTCCATATTTCCTGCTTTTAGATGTAGGCTGTTGAAAGTAAAAGTAACATCATGTTGTTGTGTCAGTTGCTTCTGGCAGTTAGTGTTCATTGCTTTATTTGGAAACAGCTTTTTGGCCAGTGTGGAACAAATAGCAAGCTTGTTAGATTGATTTTGACTATTCGTGTACTTTGCTTTGTTACTTAACAGTTTTGTAAGGGGTTCTGACTTTTGATTAATCGGCTTCTGGCTGGAACAATATTGCACAATGTTGCAAGAAAGGAGATCATTGGTAGGAACATATGGTTTTGCTTAACAAGATTTCAGGAAAATGTAGTCAAGTCTTCGTTGATAATAACTATAAATAATTTTGAGATCATATGGCTCAGGTGTTTTTGTATTAAAATATGAATTGTCATTACACTACTTATTTATTTTATTTTAGGAATTTTGTAAATACTTTCATTCAGTTTAAGAAGCCCATCATTGTGGCAGTAAATGGCCCAGCCATTGGACTTGGAGCATCTATATTACCTCTCTGTGATGTGGTTTGGGCTAATGAGAAGGCTTGGTTTCAAACTCCATATACAACATTTGGGCAAAGTCCTGATGGATGTTCATCCCTCACATTCCCAAGGATAATGGGCCTGGCATCTGTGAGTAATCTCTGAAGAATTTTATAGTACCTTTATTTATAATATTTGGTGTTTTGGTGATCTGTCTTTCCTCTTACATATCTGATATGCTGAAATATAATTCTACCACCAATGTTTGTGTAAGCGGCTCACCAGCAATCATGTCCCTCCTAATATATATGGGATATCTCAACATGTCTCTCCCAGTTAGTAGTTTCATAAACTGATACCCCTAAGGTTGCTTTGTCTGAAATGAGCATGTGTACAACAAACAAAATATTCCATTAGCAAAAGTATTAGCATTTCAGTTGATCAGTAGTTCTAATATATAAAACCTAAATTCTTCTGTTGGAGTGTTCCAGAATTTTGTCAGCAACCAACAACTCTTAAATATCTCTGGCTCCTGATCACTCATTGTCTATTGCTAATGATGGCTGCAGTCCAGCGTGCAGTTTGGTGTGTATAAATACCATTAATCCCTGTGTTATTGAAGTCCCTGTGCCTGTGCTTTGCATTCCAGCTGTTGATTTTGACATTGAGTCCTAGAGAGAATAGAAGAATGTTTTAATGATATCACAGTTGCTCTTTTAGTAAAGCTCTTCTTTATTTAGGGAAGGAGGGGAAGCTTGTGAATCAAAGGCTAGTTTCTAACTTAATAAACTGTTTAAACTACAATTTATTAAACCAGAAATGTTATATTCAAAGAAGGTCAAATATGATGACAAAAATAAAAGTAGTCTCTTATCTTAACCTTATAACCTGTATATCTGTAGATGAAATGGGGCCTGGAGGGTTTCCTTTCATGTTCAAAATGAAATTTCAGGAAGAAATAAATAAATCAGAGAGAAATGCTGGACTTTCTCTATAATGTTTCCCTTGTGCAAAGAACATCCAGAATCTTAGAGTTATGCACAGAAATAAGTAGGTGTCTGATGCAGTGGGCACATAAGATGGTATAAAACTTGGCATTTAGTAAAAGATTTGTCCTTATTGTATGACTTTGCTATTTCCACCCATGCAAGTTCTCACATAAATGAAATAAATTATTTATATAAGGCCACACTGCTCTTTATTACAAAATTTAAAAGGCAAGTACACTCACAGTGATTCCTTACTTTTTGTTTTAGTTCAGTTGGTGTAGCATATCACCCACATACAGTTTTAAAGCTGAAGTTTTTCATGCTAATATAAAGGTTAATGGACTTTTTTCTGACATAAATCTCTATGTTGAATTCTCCAGGTTTCTCTATTTGTTCTTTTTTGTGTCTCTTTAATAATAGGAAGCATAAAAATCATGCATATAACATTATTTTATAAATGGCAGAGAAAAATTCTTACCATGTATTTATTCAATTCTTTAAGAGGATGACATATTTTGTGAATGAAACCTTCACATAATAGTTAAAAAGCACATATTGCGTGCTTCAAAGACAGAGCTAGTCTAATGCCCAGTGGGACTAAATTCCCAAATAGAAGCACTGCCAGAGAAAAAGCCCCGCCGTGTTCTCACCAAATCTCCTGGTGGTGGGATATGCTACAGAGTCTTAAGAGGAAGATAATAAACGTTGTATGGCAGTTGGTTTTTATTCAGATAGCTTGGCCCCAATACATTAAGAATGTGAAAAGTTAATATCAATGCGTTGAGTTAGGCTAGTAGTTCTCACCCCTTCACGGATTGCTGACTTTTCGTGGCAAAGGGGCTTGAATAATTCAGAGAAGCTATGGGCTATGTCGTGCAGGGACACCCAAGAAGGACAGGTCATAGTGGAGAGTTCCGACTAAACGTGATCCACCTGGAGCAGGAACTAGTAAGCCACTCCAGTATCTTTGCCAAGAAAACTCCATGAGCAGAAACAAAAGGATAAAAGGTATGACGCTGGAAAATGAGCCCCTCAGGTCGGAAAGCGTCCAACATGCTACTGAGGAAGAGCGGAGGACAAGTACAAGTAGCTCCAGAGCTAATGAAGTGGTTGGGCCAAAGCCAAAAGGATGCTCAGCTGCGGACGTGCAGGGACATGAAAGGGAAAGTTCAATGCTGCAAAGAAAAATACTGCATAGGAACCTGGAATGTAAAATCTATGAACCTTGGTAAGCTGGATGTGGTCAAACAGGAGGTGGCAAGAATAAACTTTGAAATCCTGGGTGTCAGTGAACTAAAACGGTCAGGAATGGGCAAATTGAATTCAGACGATTATCATATCTACTATTGTGGGCAAGAATCCCATAGAAGAAATGGAGTAGCCCTTATAGTCAACAAAAGCGTCGTAAAAGCTATACAGTGGTGCCTCGCTAGACAGTTACCCCGCATGACAGTTTTTTCGCTAGACATTGGCTTTTTGCAATTGCTATAGTGATTCGCAAAACAGTGATTCCTATGGGGGAATTTCGCTGGACAATGTTTGGTCCCTGCTTCGCAAACCGATTTTCGCTAGACGACTATTTTGACAGCTCCTTCTGCGCTCACAAACAGGTTTTTTCGGGACCTAAGCTTTGCAAGACAGGGATTTAAACAGCTGATCAGCGGTTCACAAAGCAGCTTTCCTATGGCCGATCTTCACTAGATGACAATTCTTCCCCATTGGAACGCATTAAACAGGTTTCAATGCATTCCAATGGGGAAATGCTTTTCAGTGGAATGGATTATCATCGTCTAGCAAGACATCACTGTATTAGGATACAACCTCAAAAATGACAGAATGATTTCAATACGAATCCAAGGCAGACCTTTCAACATCACAGTAATCCAAGTTTATGCACCAACCAGCAATGCTGAAGAGGCTGAAATTGACCAATTCTATGAAGACTTACAACACCTTCTAGAACTAACACCAAAGAAAGATGTTCTTGTCATTATAGGGGACTGGAATGCTAAAGTAGGGAGTCAAGAGATAAAAGGAACAACAGGTAGGTTTGCTCTTGGAGTTCAAAATGAAGCAGGGCAAAGGCTAATAGAGTTTTGTCAAGAGAACAAGCTGGTCATCACAAACACTCTTTTCCAACACCTTAAGAGGCGACTCTACACATGGACATCACCAGATGGGCAATACCGAAATCAGATTGATTACGTGCTCTGCAGCCAAAGACGGAGAAGCTCTATACAGTCAGCAAAAGCAAGACCTGGAGTTGATTGTGGCTCTGATCATCAGCTTCTTATAGCGAAATTTAAGCTTAAACTGAAGAAAATAGAAAAAACACTGGGCTAGTCAGGTATAATCTAAACCAAATCCCCTATGAATACACAGTGGAAGTGACAAACAGATTTAAGGAACTACATTTGGTGGACAGAGTGCCTGAAGAACTATGGATGGAGGCTCGTTACATTGTACAGGAGGCAGCAACAAAAAACATCCCAAAGAAAAGGAAATGCAAGAAAGCAAAGTGGTTGTCCAACGAGGCCTTTCAAACAGCAGAGAAGAGAAGGGAAACAAAATGCAAAGGAGATAGCTGAAGTTACTGAAAATGGAATGCAGACTTCCAAAAAATAGCAGGAGAGACAAGAGCGCCTTCTTAAATGAATGGTGCAAAGATATAGAAGAATATAATAGAAACGGAAAAA